GCTTTTATCTTTTATTTTTATTCAACATGAGAGACATATTTTCACAGAGTAGTTTCTGAGCTAGATAATCAAAAAAGAATCTTTACTGTTTTCATTGTTTTGTTATTTCATTATACCAAGTTCTGAAAATAGTGTGAACATTCCCACGAGATTGTAGAATATTTTGTGCTTCGTATTTTGTGTAAATTTGCATTTGTATAGCTCAGTATCAACATACAGGGTGAAGTTGGTTGCGTATGTGGATTTTAATATTTAGTTTAGATATTTGTTAAACCCTGTAGTTTTGTGGGCTTTATGAAACAAAATAGTTCGTGAAAAGTAAACATTTTCTGGCAGGATAAAACAAAAAGAGGTGCAGACAGTTTCCAATAATCACTTAATTGTTAAAATTAACAAAATACAATGGATGTTTTTCCACAGTTTGTAACCATTGGCATTTAACGTTTTCTGCAAAATTACCTGGGAAACATTAGGTTACAGAGTTATCAATTAAGTAGATCCAGTAGCAAAAGGTTATAAATTAATTTTGTGCATCTGCAATTGGCCTGACACAGCAAACGACCTGCTGTCTTCCACAGTAAATAAGCTTTATCATAATTAATGTCTTCACAGAAAGCTTGTGTCTTACTAGTTTGATGTCAAAATATTCCTCATACCTGATCTACATGGTGGAGTGACTTGTTCACTGTAATTAATGTTAGCCTAGCTGCCGGAAACAGCTGTTCAGATGGAACAGATGTCTACAGATACTGTCGCACCAACTTTATTAGTCCAGTAAATCTGTCCAAGTCTAAATTGTGTTTATTTTCAAAGCAGAGCATCGACTGAACCGTACATTGCAAGCAGAAAAGAGATTCTGGGCACACAGGAGGGCCAGTTAAAACTCAAACTCATCGTGAAGTTTTATCATACATGTTAATTAAGATTGGCCCAGTCTCTCTTTGCTTTGAAGGCTACCCTTTACAATTGAGTGTCCAGTGGTCAGACTACAACTCCACCATGTTGGACTGTAGCTGGTAGTCCTAGGTCTGCTCTCTCGGAGACCTGAGCAAAAGGGCCACTCTAACCAGAACCTGAAGCAATTAGAGTCCTGGTTCATCTAGTGCTACGCTTAACGATATACAGAGCGGAGCAAAGATGCTATAAAGACCACCCATGATGAGATGGCAGACTACCATTGCCAATTGCAGTTCAACATGGTAGAGTTTATACATTATATTGCCAAAAGTATTTGCTCACCCATCCAAATTATCGGAATCAGGTGTTCAGACTGTTTTTACAAATGTTTGTGAAAGAATGGGTCACTCTCAGGAGCTCAGTGAATTCCAGCGTGGAACTGTGATAGGATGCCACCTGTGCAGCAAATCCAGTCGTGAAATTTCCTCGCTCCTAAATATTCCACAGTAAACTGTCAGCTGTATCATAAGAAAATGGAAGTGTTTGGGAACGACAGCAACTCAGCCACAAAGTGGTAGGCCATGTAAACTGATGGAGCGGGGTCAGCGGATGCTGAAGTGCTTAGTGCGAAGAGAGCTTCATGAAATGGGTTTCCATGGTCGAGCAGCTGCATCCAAGCCGTACATCACCAAGTGCAATGCAAAACCTCCGATGCAGTGGTGTAAAGCACGCCGCCACTGGACTCTAGAGCAGTGGAGGCACATTCTCTGGAGTGACGAATCGCGCTTCTCCATCTGGCAATCTGATGGACGAGTCTAGGTTTGGCGGTTGCCAGGAGAACAGTACTTGTCTGACTGCATTGTGCCAAGTGTAAAGTTTGATGGAGGGGGAATTATGGTGTGGGGTTGTTTTTCAGGAGCTGGGCTTGGCCCCTTAGTTCCAGTGAAAGGAACTCTGAATGCTTCAGCATACCAAGACATTTTGGACAATTCAATGCTCCCAACTTTGTGGGAACACTTTGTAGCTGGCCCCTTCTTCTTCCAACATGACTGTGCACCAGTGCACAAAGCAAGGTCCATAAAGACATGGATGGCAGAGTCTTGAACTTGACTGGCCTGCACAGAGTCCTGACCTCAACCTGATAGAACACCTTTGGGATGAATTAGAGCGGAGACTGAGAGCCAGGCCTTCTCGTCCAACATCAGTGTGTGACCTCACAAATGCGCTTCTGGAAGAATGGTCAAAAATCCCTATAAACACACTCCTCAACCTTGTGAACAGCCTTCCCAGAAGAGTTGAAGCTGTTCTAGCTGCAAAGGGTGGACCAACGTCACATTGAACCCTATGGATTAGGAATGGGATGTCACTTAAGCTCATATGTGAGCCAAGGTAGATGAGTGAATACTTTTGGCAATATAGTGTATCTGTTCATGAGACAAGAGCCCTGGTTGATGCCTGGAGAGGCAGCTGAATCACATCGAGGATCAGCTTGTTAGCAGCGGCTAAACTTTTGAAATAAACCTTACATAAAACATCTTTAATGATTTGTAAAATTCCTCTGTAAACCAAGTTGAAATTACCCACCTACATATGTGTAAGTGAGACTAGAGGTGACACAAGAAGCTGAAATCAAAAGTCTCAACATTAGAGACACTATCCCTCATGCCCAAGTGGATTATTTCATTATTCTGATGAAAACGTTGCTCTGCTCATTTCTCTTCTAGTCTGGAGTTTGTCTTACAGCGAAGTAGAGCTCTAAGTTTGCTGATCATTGTGGGTGGAGTTTTGCATTTAAGACAATGCAGAAATCTTGGCTCTCTTCCTTTTTGTAAAACTTTGAAAAAATTGAAGTTTTATGACCCTGAAAAAGAACCAGCTGAAAGAGATTTTACAATCCAAAACTGCCCAAACACAAGGTGTGTTTTGATTAGTTTTGAGCCAAGATGCTGAAGTAGGCTGATATATGGAGGTCAAATGTCTTCTTACACAGGATCAGTTTCTCATCTGCTGCCTTGTTTTAATAATTTTAAGCTTGAGTAAGACTGCAAGCCCTCTGTGACCCTGTGCACACACAGACTCTATCTCCATTCTCCTTGTGTGTCCAATGTGGGATTACTGTGGTTGGTTCACATCTTCACTGAAGAGTGTCTGTCCTCGGGCAGAATCAGATGGAACACGTGCCCTGAAAGCCGCGTGGTGTCAGGCCATCTCTCTGCTCCGCTGCTTCACTCCCCCCTGCCGCTTGAACATCCTCTCAGCTCGCCTCGCCTTCGTTGCTCTTATTTGCCCTCCCACCCATCCCCACTGCTGCCCCTCGTCCTCTTCTCCTATGTTCATTTCACAGTCTCCTTTTCCAGCTCAACACCCCAGCAGTCTGCGCTCGATTGGATTCTAAACCAATTTTGCCTCCATGAATACCTCTTAGTTCCGCTTTCCTTTTCACAATTACTTCCCAATTTGCAGCTCCATCCTGTTTCTTTTTGCAGTGGGCTGGTAGCCGATAGCTGGAGCTCTAGTAGAAGCCCACGATAGAGCGAAAGCAAACAAATTGACCTTGCTGTGCGCGAACACAACAGCTTGTTTAAACTTGCGATGAGCACTTTGTTAACATGAGGCTGAGACTTTGACTTCAGCACCTGCTTTTGTGACTCATGACCTTGTTTTAAAGAATGATGAGATATTGAACCCCAGGCATTGCCCTAGATAGACTTTACTGTGTCCTCACTAAGAGGACTTGCCTCCTGCACTTGGACCAGAGTGGTGGCTGCCTCAGAGTGTCCTCGTGTCCTTTTCTGCCGGGGCAGTGAGTAACCCCCCGACCCCCAACAATCATTGTCATCATCACCACCATCATTGGCTTGACTTGTGTAACCGTCCTTCCTTGAGTGATGAGGTTTTCCGTATTCAGATTAGCACAGCAGGCATGAGTTATGTTGCCGGCTGGGTCATGACACAAGGGTTAATGCCAGCAGATGTTTCTGCAGCGCCTCATTCTGCAAGCATGTTGTGTCTGCACATAAACTCATAAACACAACTTAAAAAAAAAAAAACTTGTTTACTTTCTCTCTGCCTTGAGCCTCAGTTAGAAATTCAGTTGAGCTTGTAAGCTTCACATTAAAGTCCTGCAGGAGGCACACACATCCATAAATTCATTGTGGGTGCTGGGCAACAATTATTAGCACATAAAGACAGAAAAAAACACCACACTACTGTCTCGTTCCCATGTTAGAAACATATCACAAAATGCCATGATGCTAAATGACAGCAGCTTAACAGCAATTTACTGAAGAAATTACTAGGAAAAATGAGTGTTACTTTTAAAAATAAAATATGTAAACAGTCAAGTGCTGAGTATGACATGAGATCCTGAATTTGATAAGACACAAGGTAACCCTGGAAGAGCAAATTTAGACAGCAGCAGAAAAACAGCAAGGCTTCTTAAAGGAGGTATGATGGAAGTTTGAAACAGTTATTATCTCAGTGGAAAACTTACCTATCAGTTGTAACCAAATACTTAGCCTAGGTTCTTCCTCTCAAGTGTTAAAACCTGTTTCTCAATCGAACACTCGTAATTTAATCATGTCATACACAGAAAACTGTGTGCTGAAGTGTCTGCAGTTTCGAGGAACGAGTAGTGTCAAAGGTGGCTTTAAACAATGTTTTAGATAGCACATTTGAAGGAGCGTTGTTGTTCCAGCCTTTTACTCCAGCTGTCTGAATAAGTGTGACAGTCAGTGTGATTTCTAGCGCAGACTTTGTTCAGTGCCAGCACACGGAGCCCTGTTCCTCTGCATGCTCTTCCCGTCTGTCCATTCACGTTAACGTCCTTATACACATGAAGCGGCACATTTTGTAGCCCTTTTGCCTTTGGAAGTCAGGAAACTTGGCCTGTAAAATCGCTGCAGCTGAAAATGTTTGAAGACGTTTGGGTGGGATTGTGGGGTTTTACAACCATGGGGCTTGTCGGTGGATTGCAGTAAACACTTAGGATGTAAGCAGTAATGATAATGAGGAAGATGTGAACTGTTTAACCCTGCAGGTGCTAATCTTATTTTGTTTTTGTTTTTTTTGTTTGTGTGTCTTTGTTTCATTCGAATGACCAGCGGTAAAGAGGCTGATGAAAGAGGCTGCTGAACTGAGGGATCCCACAGAGCACTACCATGCCCAACCACTGGAAGTAAGTTCACCAAAGAACACTGCAGTACTTATCAGGATTTGTACTATATTATTTTTGCAGCAGCTTGCATACTGCATAGTCTTTGTTGAAGACATACAGGCAAAAAAAAGAAGGAGGGATTTTTAATTTTGGGCCCTCTGTGTCTAAAGGGAATTTTCGATTTCATCTAACTTCAGTCATTGTGGTCAGAAATAATAACATTGTACTCACCAGGCAATTAGATGTGGGAACACAGGGACTTCTACAAAATCAGAGTTTGGTTGGACAAGAAACACAAGCAATCAGAGAATCAAACAGGTTCAACAAGCTTTGACCAAAGTCAAAGTGAATTGGAGCATAAAACAAATGAAAAGAGTGCAATTCTTTCTTAATTTGTCCCTTGAAAATGTTGATCACAGTTTACAGACCCACTTCTGTTCAATTGATTTTATTCTATTTGCAGTAATTGTGTGCCCAGGGTTTCAGTCAAATTAGTGATTATTACCAACATTTTGGGTGCAACGCACTCAATTTTGCCTTCACTCAGAGAAATGCAATGACCCACATACCTGAGATGTGAGTCTTTTAGCTTTTTTATGGGAGCTGTATATTTTTGTTGTTGGTTAATGTCACGCTTGTGTTGATCTAATAGCATGCTGTATGTAGAATATAGGCAATAAAAAATATGCTTAATTTCTTCTGAAACACAGACGAATGTGAGGTTCTAGCACAAGTACGACATCAGCTCTCAATAAATTGGTTTAAATGATCTGGCAGCTGTAGTGTAGCTCATGTACTGGACATTAATTTTGTGAAATATCAACTGTGTCAACATGTCAAAGTATCCTTGAGCAAAATGCTGAACTCAGAATTGCTCCTCATATGGGAAAGGAAAAATTGAATGTTGTTTTGGACAAAGCCATTACGTAAAGCTCCATTACCCTAACTTGACAGACACTGTCAGGTGAGGGTAATGGGGTGTAAATCTGATTTTCAACCTGTCTTATCCCCTGAATGCTTGTGTTTCTTGCCTCGTCCTGACTTGTTTCATCGTGTTCCTGCATCTCAGCAGTTTCTTCAGTGGGGACATTGTTTTCATAACTGATAGAAAACTACAAGAGACCAATGTTGTAATAAATCGTACTTTTCCTTTCACTCTTTACCTGGTAATGAAGGGGTTTACATTAAAGCTTACACTGAGAACATTATGATTAGCCCCCTGCCTGAGAAACGTTTTCTCCTGCAGGTACCCTATCTCTGACGTGCTGAAATACAGCATCTGACACAAAGACATTATCAGCAGATCCTTGAAGATCTTTAAGTTGTGAGTTGTAGCCATCATGGATCAGACTTGTTCCAGCACATTTCTGACACCATGTCGCAGATTCATGGTTTGTCCCTATTACCTTTAGTACTGTTAGGGTAGATGATCACTGCTGCAGACTGAGAGCACAGTACAAGCCATACCAGCTCAGCAATGCTCTGACCCAGTTGGCTAGCCATAGCAATTTGACAAAGTCCCGAGTGAGTGTGACAAGAGCATTAGGGCACGATCAATACTGGATTTTTGGGGCTGACGCTGATTCTCAGAAGTAGTAGAATCCCATACTGATATATCAGCCAAAGTTATTTATTGGTTATTTTTTAATATTGAGAAAGGAAAATGATGGGGGTCATTGTTTGTTAACTGTCTAGCAATGCAGTTCACAGACTAGTTTGCAACTCACCATCAAGACACCACTAGACTCCACCGTCTGCTCAGTTGTGATACGTACTCATGCATATGCTGCAAACTGTGTGAGTGGGACTATTGTAAAGAATGAAGTCAGAGCTTGTCTGCTGGACAAACTGTATGATGACACTATTTCGAAATCATCCCAAGTGTCTTTTGCTGATTCATATTCTGTACAAAAAATCCCCACAAAGTTGTCATCTTGACTTTATTGTCCCATCTCCTGCTCACTGACTACGAGAACGTACTGTTCACTTGTGCTGTAATATATCCCAAAACTTGAGATGTGCCCTTGGTACAAAATACTCAGTGTTATTTGCTTTATATCTTAGTTGTCATAATGATGTTTTGGTTCATGTGTTTTACTCATTTACAAGAGTCAAAACTCAAATCTGAATGAACATAAACTATGAATTACGAATTATGAATCTACTGATTGTAATCTGTGCATCCGTGATCACACAGGAAGATTTGCCAGAATGTAAAGAAATGTTGGATATAAAAACAAGGCTCATTTGTAGGCCACATTACTGACACTAGAACAACATACGCCTTCTGTACACACACACCCAAAGCATGATGGCAGCTGGAGTTCCAAAGCTTGTTAGCTTTTGTTTGTTTGCACTGTCAATACGTTTCTGCTGACCTCCAGTAGCTTCCTTTCTCACCTGGCTTTAGTGATGTACGTGTGTACAGTGACGATAGTGTTGCAGTTAAAAGTGCGACAAAGCACACTAATGGACACACACATCATTAGGTGATAGACTGGTGACCTGTCCAGGGTGTCCCCTGTCTTCGCCCTAAGTTGGCTGGAATAGGCTCCAGCCCCCCCACGACCCTAGTGAGGATTAAACGGTGTATAGATAATGGATGGATGATTCAAAATGAGGTTTTCATAGTAATAGAATTTTATTTTCTTTATTTTAGAGTATTGGCCAATAAAGTAACAGCTCACCATGAGTACAACAAACCACTGTTGGGTTTGCACTCCACAGGACACATCACTGCCAGTGTTGTCACTTCAAAGAAACCTGTGCCTTTGCATGACTTCACACATTGTAATATGTGCTCAATGTGACATTTCCCTCTTTCTGCAGGATAACCTCTTTGAATGGCACTTTTCCGTACGGGGACCCCCAGATTCAGACTTCGATGGTGGGGTTTACCATGGAAGAATCGTGCTTCCCCCAGAGTACCCCATGAAGCCCCCCAGCATCATCCTCCTCACAGTAAGACACCGATGAAGGCCACATCTCAATCACATCTGATTGTTGTCCCACTGAAGCGGAACAGGAAGCCGTCAAATTAGATGATCAAAGTGTGGAAAATAGACAGCATGTCATTTAACCCTCAGCCATTTCTGGTTGCATCACACGTAGTGACAGTTGTCAGGGCAAAGCCTGGGTTGTCAGCACACTGTCAAAGGGAATTGCACTGGTTTTGTGTGAATATGAAATTGTCTTTTTATATTCAGGCAGCTGTATGACACCTGCACTAATGACAGTCTGATAAAAGCCAGAATACTCTGAATTGTTGTGACAGTCACTTTTCCGTTGTGTCCAGCTACTTATTTAAAAAAAAAAAAGAACAAAAGTTTCTATTTCATTTTCATTGTTTGAAAACTTACTTTTGCACAATAGCAGCCTGCATTTCGAGGTATGCTCTCAGCTGTTTCAAGTTTCTGTGTCAGTCTGCTTGTCCTAACTTTTGACAATGTATGTTTTATTTATTCATCTCCACCCACACAGTCACCTCCACCGTCTCTTTATTTCTCCTTAGCCGAATGGAAGATTCGAAGTTGGAAAGAAGATTTGTCTGAGCATCTCTGGCCACCATCCAGAGACCTGGCAGCCGTCATGGAGCAGTAAGTATCATAAAAAATACAGCCCCATTTTGCTACATGTAGCTCATTACCTGAGTTACTCCAGGTAGGACTTTCTCTAAATATATGTCAGTCTTTTAGTGCAGACTGGGAAGGTAAAAAGAATGCACGTTATTATTTGTAGAGCTGGGAAATTTGATCTGTCACAGTAGTTTATCAGTAATAATCTATAAGTAGCCCCTTAACTATGACACTAATAATCAGTACAGCAGCACAATATTGTTATGCTTGTCACTCTGCTGAGCTTCTTTCTATCAGAAATGTTTTATTTTTTCTATGTATTTCCATTTTCTTCTGCTTCACTGCTCTCAGGGTTTAGAGTCTGCTTTGCTGCATTTAGAGTTAAGCTACTGCCAATAAAACCAAGCAATTACAACTTAAAAAACTTAACTTAAAGCTTCCTTTAAGTTAAGTCAAAACCGATCATTTATTTGAATCATTTATAGTGATTATGCCCTTTAAACTGTAGGAGGCTTTTAATTTGAAATATTTGTGCAGCAAGTATTGGCCCTCATTGACTTTAACTTAGCAGTTATTAAAACTACAAATGAGAAGTGACAGTATTTCTGTTAAAGGAGGAAAGAAAGAGGTGATATAACATGTTACACTGATGGAAGATGTGGGAATGTACGCTCTGCTGAATAAAAAAAACAAAACAAAAAAAAACTATGTTAACATTTTTTTAACCAAAATTTTAAAATAACTTTACTAGAGATTTTATTACTTAAAAGACATTTTAAAACCTGACAAAATGACCTGCCTCTTAAGACCTGGTTTTCTGCGCTTCACAGAAATTAAGGCTTCACATATATTTGAAAATAAGTTTTGCATCTTCAACCAGAGAGTTGAAGTCTTTGATTGAACTTAAACTGGGAGGATTCAAGTTTTCACCTTCATGCGACTGTCAAACTCTGTTAAAAGGTAGTATTGTTTATAAGTTGGAAATGTGTAAAACATCTAATTACAGCCACAAAACTAATGTAATTTATGATAATCAGTTAGTGATTTTTTTGTATCTTGTATTTTGGGGTTCCTGGATAAATCGTGTGTCCCCAGAATTGGTCACCAAATCAATAAATAATTATTGAGTACCTGGTGCTGTAGTGGCCGAAGGGCATTTTTATATCTCCAGAGTCAAAACCGATCATTTATTTCTCCCAAGAACTCATTTTAGTTCTCTACTGGCGTTCCAACCTTTTTCTGAGTTCTGCTTTCATGTTGCCTCTCAGCATGGGACTTTAATCAGTGGGAACTCAGTGGGAGACGGTGCATCTTCCTCAAAGCATTTTCCCCTACCCGGCTCCCACTTATAGCCAAAAAATAAGTTTTAAATCAATAACAGAATTAAATCAAAGACAAAGGTAGCTTTAAACCTCTTTTTACCAAGATACTGCAGGTCACATGGCTAGCCATGCCTTAGAGATTTGACTCTCCCTGCTGAGCTCCTAAAGTGTTGTGTTCAAGTTGTGTCTGATCCTGCTTGGAATGACCGCAGGAGGCCTGGCTTGATAATTGCACTGAGCTGCGAATGTCACAGACAAGCAGCGATTCCAAGCTTACGCTCACTACTGTTGGCTGCTGCTTTTAGTTCATGTACTACGCCTACATATTTAATAAAGTTTGGCTAATTAATTCAAACATTTCCCCTCATGTCACTTTGGATGTCCTATTTATTTACTGGGCTGCAAGGTGGCGCAGTTGATAACACTGTTACCTTGCAAAAGGGTCGCCGGTTTGCGTCCCAGTGGGGTTACCAGGATCTTTCTGCGTGGAGTTTGCATGTTCTCTCCTTGCAGCGTGGGTTCCCTCCGGGTTCTCCGGCTTCCTCCCACACAGTCCAAAAACATGTTGAGGTTACTTGGTGATTCTAAATTGTCTGTAGGTGTGAATGTGAGTGTGCTTGGTTGTCTGTCTATAAGTGTAGCCCTGTGATAGTATGATAGACTGGCGACCTGTCCAGGGTGTCCCCTGTCTTCATCCTAAGTCAGCTGGGATAGGCTCCAGCCCCCCCGCGACCCTAGTGAGGATTATAGATAATGGATGGATGGATTTATTTACAGTTGTATACTTATTTATGAATATGTTCACACATTTTCCTCAAGCTGCTTTCTGATCTATTTCTATCCTTTTTTTTTTTTTTTTTTTTAACATTCGCATAAATTGTCAAACAGAACAAGTAGAGGGTATAAACACACACGTACGCACACACCACTATTTATCTTTTGAGAACCGTAGAAGACTGCAGAGTTAGACAGTCAACACTGAAGAGCTTTATCTCAGCAGACTTGCTGCTGTTTAAGTAAAATGTGCTGCTTCTTCTTCTTGTATTAATCAAAGACTGTACACGTTACTTCAACAGAGGAAACAACTGAATTTCTGCTGTAACTTGAGCTGAATACTGATAGTCAAGTCCAATTTATATAATGAACTTTAAATCTCAGGCAGCACTGCAACTACATTTGACAAGGTGTGTCGAGCATTATTAAGGAAATCATAAAAAATAAGGGGTAAACAGTGTTTGTGTACATGAATACTCATTCATGGACATTAGAATCCTGGTTGTTTTTAGGGTTTTGGAACATTTTGGCTGCGTGTTGTAAATCTCCTATCATGGATTTCAAAATATGCGTGGCTTACCCGTATTTTTAAATTGTAAGAAACCTAAATAAGCTCCCTGGAGAATTCCACTCTGAAAATTAAATACTGTAAACAGTTCATTGAGGTTTCTGATCACTGACTATTTCATCCTCCAGCCATTAACTTAAAAAAAAATGTTGAAAAAAAATCAACAGTAATTGTGGCATTTCCGAAGTTTGAGGGCCCCCTACTAAGTCACAGATCACAGCTTGCAGAGGCTTTTTCCACCCAGTTCAGGATCTTTCTGTTCTGCCTGTAAATCACTGAGATATTTCCACACTGTCCTTCACACAGTATGTGTAAGATCCCCACAGATCTTCAACAAAGTTCAGGTCAGGGGTACTCTGGGTTCCAGTCTAAAAGCCTCAGTTTTTGTTTCTTGAAGTAGCTGAAAGTGGATTTTGAGGTCGGCTCTATTTCATTGTCCCATTGTAGAAGACTTGACTGATTGCAGGACATTTGCTGTCAGAGTTTGTTGATATTTTTTGGAATCCATTCTTTCCTCTTTCTGTGCACTGTTTTCTATGCCCCTGGCTGCCACACAAAGACTAAGCAAAAGATTTCCACCCCCATACTTAACAGTTGCAAGATATTCTCTTCTTCGAATGCTGATGCTATTTTTTTTGTAATTATAGTCCAAAAAATGTATATATTTTACTGTCGTATGTCCTCACCCCTTGTTCACAAACCCGTCTGTCTTATCCTGATATTGCTTTACAGACATCACACATTTACTTCTGTGATGAGGTGGCAGGTTTTCTTCTGATGACTCGTCCACATAGATCCCTGTTTGTGCAACAGTGCTGCACAGTGCATCACCACTTCTGTGCCAGCAAAACCTTTTCACAGCTCCTATGCAGCCATGTGGGGATTTTTTTTTTTTGCCCTACCGTCCTGCAGACCTCCAGTATTATCTCAAAGTTTCCAGATCTTGTCTTCACTTCCACAGTTCCCCTTTTAACTGCTATTTCTCAGTGACATTTTGGACAGTGGAAACCACAAGCTGGAAGCGCTTTGATGTCTTTTTTATAGTTTTCCCCCATCAGTTAGCTCCATTTCATATCCTCTGCCTTTGCTAAGATGAGCCCAGGAGGATTCTTGACCTGCCTTACAAGACCTAATAAGTCGCTTGAGTCTCCATGCGTGAAGTTCTGGGATGTTTTCAAGTATAAGGGGCCCAGACATTTGCAATTGCCAGAATTGCTGTTGAGTTTTTTTAAGTTTTTATTCTAAGGTTATGAAATTAAAGACTCATTCTTAATGTCTGTTTGCTGCATGGGTTGTATTTACTTAATTCCACTTCAAAACTCAACAAATTATGTAGTACAGTTATCAATAAGGTTTCCTGATATTGTTTTTGCTGTATATAGCTGTTGCAAGGTACTATCTGATCATATTTCAGGCATCAACAGGAGAAAATCAACAACAATGAAATAAAAATATCAGTGTCGCATTTCAACTCACATTTTGTTCCGTATGTGTTTTCAAACTAATCAACGGAGAATGGTAAGTGTCCTTAGCATTCACATCCAGAGCATTAGTGTGCATGTGATATCGTTAGTATCAGTAATAAAGTGAAATCCAGTGTGGATACCCTTTAAAGAAGGCTTAATTTTCAGAAATAGTAATATAATGGGATTCTTTATTTAGTCAGGATTTGCTGGAGTACAGACGGAGCGCAGGCAGCCACAACACAGACACAAACACACCCCTGACCCCGACCATATTGTAAAACATGGCTCGTGCCATCTGGAGAATGTGAGTACAGATGCATGGTGGATGTCCTCACGGCGGCTTACGCTTAGACAACAAAGCATCATTCCCGCTTACGTAACACGGGTACTGAACAGGACGACATGTGCAGCCTGTCATGTAATTTAACCTTCTCTGTTTTACAAAGCAATGTTAAATGTGCTCTGTTTTTAATTTTTTTCTTTTTCTCCTCTTTATCTTTCCTCTTTCTTTGCTTTTATCTTCCAGTCCGAACTGCTCTAATAGCTATTATCGGATTCATGCCAACAAAGGGAGAGGGTGCAATAGGATCTCTTGATTATACCCCAGAAGAAAGGAGGGCCCTTGCCAAAAAGTAAGATTTTGTTGATGAAAATATTTCAAGTGTTTACTCTCTTCACAGAATGTATTGTGTATGCTATGAGATGAGAATGATAATAAGGAGGGTGTTTGAAGTAGTGTGGGACTGCGTATTATATGGATGAAGGGATGTTAAAGGCTGGATGAGCAACAGGTTGAGAGTATGATCAATACTGGCATTTCAGATGCGATGCTGCTTAGATAGCATTAAAAAGCGAAGTCCACACAAGCATGTAATTTCATCAACACCTGAAGCTCGACGGACATGCCTTTTGCTAATAATTGGCTTGTCACAAAGTCAAAGAAATGTGCCCAAGCCAGTCCTGGGATTGCAAGTTGGCGAATTCATTATCGTCATAATACCCAGTCTCTGGAGGGAGCATGAGCGGGCATGTTGCTTTTCATTTCACACCGCATTTCCCTCAGAGAAAACGGAACAAAGCCAGAGATGGAGAGGATCCAGCTAAAGTCGCTCTTCTATTAGCCGATGAGACGGGGGTCTTGATCAGCCGCCTGTTTCATTAGCACATGGAGATGAGATAGACAGGAAGACGCACTTTGCTATAAATATGTGACTGCTTATCTCCCTGATGGAAAACCTTTTTTTTTTTTCCTCACTTGGTCTAAAGGCTGAGGCAGCACTTCTCTTTGGCTTCTCATCTCCTGTTTCTGTGCCCCTGGTGATTGTGAGAGCTGTCAGTCAGTGAAGGGCCCCAGCACAGCAGGAAGAGGCTCCTGTCCAATATTTTCAGAGTTTACCAAGTTTATGACTGACAGGGAAACTGCCAACTTGTGATGTAGGAGGACTAACACAGGCCCTGTGGAGGTCTGGGAAGTCTTAGAAATGAATATGAAAAATATCAGTTATTCCTGACAACTGACTGCAAATACGCTGGGGTCCAAACGTCTGAAAGCACCAGTGAAGTTTGTTCAATTTTGCAGGCGTTTGAAATTTAATACAAAATGTTTTATTGCAACGGATATTATCAGGTTAGCAACTTGAATGTAAAGCTGAATCTCAGAAAAATGTCCATGAGTTTTAGAAAGTCTTAGTATTTCTTTGCCTCCCTTTTTACTTTAATGCCAGCAGCACTCGAGCTGCCAAACTCTGAAAGTTTGTTCAAAAGCCTGATAACCCATGTTATTTCAACATGATGTGACTATGTTTGATTGAGCTTCTTGTCATGTCAGGAGTGTTTGGCTCTCTCAGTCTGGAAGTGCCCCCATAAATATTTAGCAGGTTTGAGGTCAGGTGCTTGTGCAGTAGAGTCCATGGCACTCAGCACCCATGAGTTTTCTCTTGTCTTCAAGCTGTTCTTCAAAGCAAAGAGCTGTATTTTGGCTCATTATCCCGCTGCACTATGAATCTGTCTCCTCAAGAAAGCAAACCAGCAGGGTGTAGCGTGTATCTGAGGAATGGCCTGCTACTTCTTTAGGGTGAAGGTGATTCAGTGCAGTTGTTCAGCTGTACCTTTTATGATTTATCCTCTTTGATCAGGTGCTACAGATAAAGGTTGTATACCACAAGTAACATTAGCTTTTTCAATCATTTATTCAACAAAAACATCATTAGATGTAATATTGTTCATATAATTGAATCTGATTTTCTGTCAATAGATTCAAACAAAACTTCTTAACTATAAAAAAACAAGAATTTGAGAGAGAATGAAACCAACAAAAGCCAAATAAAGTCATCTCAAAAGTAAAACTTAGAACTTAGAAACAAATTATGTGATCTTTTAGTTTTTTGGCTAACATGTTCTTTTGTTTATAATTCCCTCTGCTTCTTTCTTACTGATCAAATTTTTGCCCTCAAAGAACGCTGTTTGGTTATGCTGCCAGCCCTCTTGTTTGTGCTGCCAGACTTTTTGTTTGTTAGTTCTGACACTAACCTCTCACGTGGGCAGGTTTTCTCAGGGGTACGTCCCCATTGGCTAATGAGTTTTTGAGTGGCAGTTCAGGGCCCTGGATGATGCTCAGCACCACATGGAGGGTGTGCACTTAGTGAAAAAAAAGTATAAGAAAGATGTCCTATCACTCTTAAATTACATACATATAATACAATCCAAGAACATCAGACTTACATACAAAAGAGTTAACATGTTCAATACTAATGATCTGCCTTAGTTTGATTAGAAATACTGTAGATTGTCAAATATTTCCTCTTAATTTTACCTGTCAGAACTTCTGTTGCTTTTGAAATGTTTTAAAATCCTCAAAATTTCACGATTTTAGTCGTTTCACATGAAAATAGGACAGATGTTTAATGTCTCAGACTTTTGGACCTCACTGTTGATAGACATGCATTTTTTTTGTTTTTACATGATACACTATTAGTAATTTAAAGTACAGTGTAAGGATATAGTGGCCAAACTGGTGAAATTATTTAATGAACAAATTATTCAAATAAATGAAAGATGATGAGTTTGTTTCATTTTTAGTTTTTTTTCAAAAAGAGAAATGTGGTTAAATTAGGGTAGAAAATGTATTTTATTCAGTTGGACATTTATCAGCCCTCCATCCTCGGAACTGAGAAGAGAAACTTTCAGCTCCTTTCTAAAGAAAACTGTTGAAGTAAAAAATGTATTGCCAAATAAACACTTAACTTGTTCCAGTAACAATTACTTAAAACAAACAAAAAAACAGACACCAAGGGATCTAAATTATAAATTGAACAACACAGATTATTTATTTTGTTGTGATAGTCTGTAAAATAATACGCATCCCATACCTATGCGATGGGAGAGACTTGTTCACTTTGTTGAACAATTGTTCAGCTGCCAGAAAGCTGAAACAGATGTCCTCAAAGTTTGTTGTGGCAGCTTCATTACTTTGGTAAAACAGTCAGCATTTACTCGCGCTATGATAAATGTATTTAAATAAAAGTTGGAGAATACCACTGACAAAGGTATTCTTTTTTTTTTTTTCTTTTTTAAATTTTACTTGTGTTGCAAATGTGTATTGTGTACCAGCTTCCAGCCTGTGTTAATCCCACAGCTGCTCACTACTTTTCTTAAATATGGTAGTATAGCATTAGCATGATGCTCAGATACTAACTAAATCAGACAACAACTCAGGGGAATTTGAACAACTTTATGCTGCAGTTGCCACAGTTTGCAAAAACCAGCCAGGTGGCTTTTTTTTTTCCTTCGTTGGACAGTTGTCAGATGTGCTCATTTTGCAATTTTAATGGCCCTTGTGGCTGGTCATTGAACACATCCGTAGCCCCCTCTCATAACACAGTGAAAAAATCCACCTGGTGCAGATTTTCAAACAAGAAACCTACAAAATATTTTCTTAGTTACAGTGTGCGTCTCTCATCTTCTGCATCATTGATGAGATATTTTTTCAACAGGTATCATTGGCATGTTTATGTCATTTAAAATGGGAGGTCAGCTGTTATATCCTTCTCAGGTTGTAGTTCAGTGAGTTTATGAGATATAGCTTTGCAGGCTTGTCAGTTGCAGTCACCAGGTGTGTGTGTGTGTGTGTGTATGTGTGTGTGTGTGATGTGGATATGCTGGTACACTCTGTGTATATAGGCTACAGAGCCTATATATTTCAACAGCAGCTTCAATCACTAGTCAGACTCACACAGGATATGTTTAGGTTAATGGTCTATTCAATTCAATTCAATTCAATTTTTTTTTTAAATAGCGCAATTCACAACATATGTCATCTCTTATTGGTGCTTTTCTACCTTAATGGTATTCAAAGCACTTTTCAGTGTGTTTTTCATTCACCCATTGACACACCAATGGCGACAGAGCTGCTGTGCAAGGTGCTTGCCTGCCATTGGAAGCAACTTCGGATTCAGTGTCTTACCCAAGGACACTCAGACATGTGGAGGGACAGGGGATTGACCTGCCAACCTGCTCCACCACTTGAGCCACAGTGCTGAGTTGTATATCATACATTTTGGTAGCATTCAGACCTCAATACACACTCATGTTTAATTACACACTGAGTATGTACAAAAATAGATATGAAGCATAAAAATGCACTTAACAGCTTAATAGCTCACCTGGTTGAGCTGGCGTCCCATGTGCAGGGCTACAGTCCCAATGTGGAGGTCATGAGTTTGAATCTCGCTCATGGCCATATCCCACACGTCCTTCCCCCATTCTTCTCCCCCACTTTCCTGTCTCTCTCTCACTGCACTATCAATAAAGGCACAAAGGCCAAAAAATAGCTTTAAAAAAAATAATAAAAAAATGCACTTCACATTGCTGGTGCTGATAAAGGTGGTGCAGCAGTATATGCGGACATCTGTTCCAGCTGTGTCCGGCAGCTTGACTAACATTAACTACAGGGAACAAGTCTCTCCCATTGTGGTATGCAGCCTGTGTAGAAAATTGAATAAAACAGAAGCATATCTGCGACAGAACGCTAAAGTGTGCTGTTTTTATCATTGCTTTTCTTTTTTAGTATTTTGTATACACCCCTACCTCCTGAAATATTTGTTTGTGAATTCATTAATATGTTTGTGACCGGAGGAAATGTTGTCTCAAATTATCCATCCACCACTTCGCAGTTGTCGAATTATGTTAAGGTATGTTGAGTGTTTGGGTACAATTATTTCAGCGCAGTAGGCATTTCCTTATACCCCTGGGCCCTGGTGCCAACATTTTATACTGCTTCAAGCTGTGCAAATAATTGTCTGGTCATAGACTCCTATGAATCGTCTGTAGTGGGCCAGGGGGGACAGTTGTCACAGCATGCATTAATATTTGACAACACTACAAATTAACTGTAGGTGAAACTGGGCAAAAAATAAGAAGGTGAACTCCCCGTCTTCAGGGGGCGGGTTTTGCTTGTTTATTTACAGTTTCACGGGTGCCTTTAAAATGTTGACTGATCTTTTTTTTCCCAAAGTAGCTGTTAGGTTTTTCAGCCTGAGCGTAAAGTCATGTGATAAAAAATTTGGGAAAATCCTTTATAGCCCCAATATACTTAGGTGCGATACACGATGTATCACTGGCTGACAAATTATTA